CTGGAGGCGTGCTGGTGGAGCTGGAGGTTCTTTGACTACTGAGGGTGCTGTTGTCGCGGGTCCCGGAGGTGCTCGTACTGGCCGTACTGGAGCTGCTGGGCCTGCGAGTTCGACTGGAGCTGGTGCTGCTGAGGGTGTTGGCGCTGAGACTACTGCTGGCGGTCCCACCGGTGGTGTTCTTGGTGCTGCTGGAGGTACAGGACCTGGAGGTGCTGCTGGTGCTGGTGCTGCCGTTCAGGGTACTGTTGCTGTCCCTGCTGTGTCTGGAGTGGCCGCGCGGCCTCGGCCGTACTTTGTTCCGCTCCTGCAGCAGGTTCTTGGTCTTCCGCCTTCTACTGGTCCTCCTCCTCCCTTAGAGTGTCCACAGCCTCTCCCGTCACAGTTGCAGTTACAGCCTGCCTCCCCTTTGCCTACTCCTTCTCCCTACACTGGTCCTGCTGGAGGTCTTGCTGAGCGTCGTGAGCCTGCGTCTCGCCCTACGTCACCCGTACGTGCTGCTCGCACTAGTGGTTGTGGTTCGCGTCAGCGTCCTCCTCTTGTCCCTCGCACGCACCAGATGTCTCTGCGTCTGTCCACTGCTCCTCTGCGTGCCCCTTTGCCTTCTCCTCCTGAGTCCTCTCTTCCTGCTCTTGCCGACCCAGAGTCGGACTCTCTTCGTACTGCCAGTCCTACTGTCACGCGTCTCCTTGCTACTGTTGTCACTGACCCTTCCTTTGAGTCCACTGCTGCGTCTGCCCTAGTTGCCGAGCTCGTCAACTTTGCTGCTCGCTGTCGTCTAGACTACGCTGCTAGTCTTGTCGCTGAGTCTGAGTCTGTCTGTCCTCCGTCCGTCGGGGGTGAGTGTGCTCTTAGCACGGACGTCCTTGAGGACAGGCAGGAGGAGTTCCAATGTCTTGCAGCTGCTTCACCTCATCTCGTGTCCGTACTGCTTACCCCTGAGGGAGACCCGGATGCACTTGACATCCCGACTCCCCGCTCTTACGAGGAGGCGATAGAGGGTCCCTACTCTTCTCAGTGGCAGGCAGCTATGGATGCAGAGATGGCTTCCTGGAAGTCCACAGGCACCTACGTTGACGCTGTCCCCCCTCCTGGGGCGAACATCGTCAGTGGCATGTTGATTTTCAGGGTGAAGCGGCCGCCGGGTTCTCCGCCTGTCTTCAAGGCGCGTTACGTGGCTCGTGGCTTCAGTCAGCGACAGGGAGTTGACTACTTTCAGACCTTCTCCCCCACCCCGAAGATGACCACTCTTCGGGTACTGCTGCACGTTGCTGCTCACCGTGACTACGAGCTGCACTCTCTCGACTTCAGCACTGCTTTCTTGCAGGGCAGCCTGCACGAGGAGATCTGGCTGCGCCGCCCACCTGGCTTCACTAGGTCTTTCCCTCCTGCTACCCAGTGGAGTCTCCGGCGTCCAGTCTACGGTCTCCGCCAGGCGCCACGTGAGTGGCACGACACACTGAGGACTACTCTTGCGGCTCTTGGGTTTGCTCCTTCTACTGCCGACCCGTCGCTGTTTCTGCGCACCAACACCTCTCTGCCGTCGTTCTACATCCTCGTGTATGTCGACGACTTGGTCTTTGCCACAGCTGACACTGCTGGACTCGCCTACGTGAAGTCCGAGTTGCAGAAGAGACACACGTGCACAGACCTGGGTGAACTGCGCAGCTACCTTGGCTTGCAGATCACCCGGGACAGAGCACGCCGCACCATTACCCTAACTCAGTCACACATGGTGCAGCAGGTCCTTCAGCACTTCGGCTTCACGTACTCCTCGCCTCAGGCCACTCCTCTGCCTACTCGCCACTCGCTCTCAGCTCTGCCTTCGGATGAGTCCGTAGAGTCGAGTGGCCCGTACCCAGAGCCTGCTGGCTGCCTCATGTACCTGATGACCTGCACTTGACCTGACCTTGCATACCCTCTTAGCATTCTTGCACGCTATGTTGCTCCTGGGAGACACCGACCAGAGCACATGGCTGCAGCGAAGAGGGTGTTGCGCTACTTGTGCAGTACGTCGGGCATGGGGCTAGTGCTTGGAGGACGGAGTCCAGTGGTCCTCACTGGGCACGCGGACGCTTCTTGGGCTGACGACCAGGCTACGCAGCGGTCGTCACAGGGTTACACCTTCAGCCTTGGTTCCGGCTCTGTTTCGTGGCGGGCTACTCGCTCGTCTTCTGTTCTCGGCTCCAGTTGTGAGGCTGAGATCTACGCAGGGGCCATGGCTGCACAGGAGCTTCGCTGGCTCACCTACCTGCTGACCGACCTTGGAGAGCAGCCTCGTTCTCCTCCAGTCCTGTACGTAGACAACAAGGCCATGCTGGCCTTGTGTCGAGAGCAGAGATTGGAGCACAGAAAAAAGCACATTGCTCTTCGCTACTTCCTTGCTCGTGAGCTACAGCAGCGTGGTCAGTTACGGCTTGCCTACGTGGCCTCTGAGGCCAACACTGCTGATGTCTTCACCAAGGCACTTGCGCCTTGTGATCATCCGCGCTTCTGTACGCAGCTGGGTCTTGTGCCTGTCTTGCCTCACTTGCTCACCTCTTGATGCTGCTTGTACTGTTGCCTATATTTATACCTGCTCTTGCTTGTCTAGCTTTTATATATCTATACTCCTGCATGTGAACTGGCATTGTGGCCCTGACCTTGTGCTTGGACTGTGTGGTGACGTTGTGATCCACCCTGAGCTTGCTTTGCTTTGCTTTGCTTGACTGGTCTTGTGACCCCTTGTTCTCCCCCACTTTGCTCTTGCTTGTCTAGCTTTTATATATCTATACTCCTGCATGTGAACTGGCCCTGTGGCCCTGAACTTGTGCTCGAACTGTGTGGTGACGTTGTGATCCATTCTGAGCTTGCTTTGCTTTGCTTTGCTTGACTGGTCTTGTGACCCCTTGTTCTCCCCCACTTTGCCTATGGGGGTGTGTCAGAATATTGTAGCTTATACATTTTGTGTAGGCTATAGTGGGGCATCCCATAGGGGGTACAACCGAATTAGGGTTAGTACTTGTACTCTCTTCTTTCATACTGCATTCATTCTCGTTCATATCTTCTCATTTTACGGGTTCAAATCCTCAATCCCATCACAGCTAATAAAAAGGTGATCTGTGCTCTCGTGAAACTTCCACGCTTTGAAATCGGCCTGCCACCACGGCCCCGTGGAATTGCTCGTGGGGCTCTGGATGGCATCACGAACGACATTGCGGACATTGGAGCTGTAGCGTGCATACAGTCCTTTGAGGTCCACACTGCTGTGAGAGAGAGGCAAACCAATCTTGATCTTGTGTTCCACCTGCATTTATGAAAAGCAGAACATTAACATGAGCACCCAAGGTTTTGCACCAATTGACATGCGCTGATTGTTCACCTACCCCGAGGAGCCAAAACGCAATGTGTTTCAGTCGCAGCACCAGCTTTGGATAGCCCTCTCTCTCATATGACAGATAGATTGCGCTGGTGAAAATGTCGTTCGCCAGAAGGACCCCCTTGTCATTCTTAGTCCAGGTCAGCAGGTCCTATGAGTCATCGTCTGGCAGTTGGGGTTTAGGATAGAAACGCAAGGGGCTTACAAATGAACCACAACTCAGGTAGGCATGGTGAAATGCATCGGATTTTGGTAGGCATGTGTGGGGGACGACTGCTGCCCTATGCAGAGAGCCTTTGCATTCCCGATGTTCGAGAGGCCCATGCTGGACATGTGGAGGCATGCGGGGGATGGAGGGGTATAGAGGGGCGCAGCAGAGGACAGGAGGACAGAGTGGGCATTGGCGGGCAGCAGAGGTCAGGAGGACAGAGTGGGCATTGGCGGGCAGCAGAGGGCAGGAGGACAGAGTGGGCATTGGCGGGCAGCAGAGGGCAGGAGGATAGAGTGGGCATTGGTGGGTGAAGAGGGTGGGGGCAGTCGGTCGGGGCCGAAGGCGCACTGAAGATTGGCACCATGCAAATCTGAGTCAACGGAGCACATGACGAACTCTTTGGCTCTGCGTTCCTCGGCATCTTGACCGGAATGATGTACCTCACCAAGGGGCATGGGCATGCATGGCATGAACAACGGGGGGCACTGGGGTAGGCAGCGAAAGTTTGGGGTATATGGGGAAAGGGTTTAGTACGTGCATGTGAAATCTGGTGGATGGACGGGAACACAAGGGAACAGGGGCACCGTTAGTGAAGAGATGTGCAAGAGAGAGGCCTGGATATGAGAGACGTGCGACATACGAGTGCTGGTGCAAAGTTACAAGGATTTGAAAGGGGGAAGCAGCCAAGTATGTACGAAACGTTACCTGCAGTGAATTTGGCGACGAAGGCTGAAGGTTCCACCCGTCCCACCACCGCCTGGTGGAGGTTTGGCCGTTCTATCTTGATGTTGAAGTACTCATACAGGTTGACTCTTCCGGTGGTGAGTACCGTGTTGCGTTTGTCCTGGAACTTCTTCCGAAACTGACCTGATCGACCAGTCTTGTTCTCCATCACAAGCATTAGGGCCGACGCCAGCGCGTTGATAATTGCTGAACGAGGGCACCAGAATTGTAGATGGGCATTCGGAGCCTCATAGACAAGTATGTCTACGGCTTTCCTTGTAGCGGCCTACATGCTCACAGTGGTTCAGGGTAAGAGAATGGTGAGATGGGTTTAGTGGCTTAGGCACAAAAAGGGAGGACTGGCTTAGTCAGAGGGTTTGAGTGCACCGCATCTCACAGGCCCGGGAGGAGGGTAAGGCATGTCTGGTTGGAACAAGTGGACCGAGCATACCTGCAAAGGGAGAAGATATGGGGAGGAAGAAGTTACTGGGAGGAAGGGGGTTAGGCACAAGGGCAGAGACTTGCTGCTGCAGTGTGACTGATTGCTCCCCACCTCACAACCACGGGAGGAGGGTAAGGCGGGCCTTGGGGGTATGGGTGGACCTAGCGCGCCTGCCAAGGTAGGAGAGAGAGGCGGTACGAAAGAGAGGGGAGGGGCAAAGGCACAAGGGCAGAGACAGAGTGGGACAATTTTGGTGATTGTGCCGCACCTCAAAGCAACGTGAGGAGGGTAAGGCGGGCCTTGGGGGTATGGGTGGACTGAGCGCGCCTGCCAAGGGAGGAGAGATCGCCTGGTCTAATGGTAGGGGGAGGGGCACAAGGTTAGTGACCGTCATAGTCAGTGAATGTGCCGCATGTCACAGGGTCGTGTGGCATGGTTTAGACCATGCCTAGTGAGGATACTTAACATGAACAAGGTAGGCAACGTATGAGGGCTTGGTACGGATACCTCACATGAGAAGAGGAAGGCTTTGTACGGGACAATGAGGAAATCGTGGCCTACCGTGAACCCGTTGTGCTTCGCCGGAACAGAGGCCAATGCCATTGCATATCGGTGCGCCCACGTCCGTTGCATTCGAGTTAGTTGATGCAAGTCGAGCGTGGCTCCATTCGAGTACGCATTGTTGACAACGTCGATGATAGCAGGGCGATTTGGCTCGACCAAGACCATGGGACGCTCGTAGTTGTCTGAGTTTCCCACAGCCGCCCCACGACGCCCGCCATTAGCCGCACCAGCCGCCCCAAAACGCCCTCCGTTAGCCGCACCAGCACCACCTGACGGCCCTCCGTTAGCCACACCAGCCGCCCCAAGACGCCCTCCATTAGCCGCACCATCACCAACGGACGGCCCGAAGTTAGCCGCACCAGCACCAACTGATGGCCCTCCGTTAGCCACACCAGCACCAACTGACGGCCCTCCGTTAGCCACACCAGCACCAACTGACAGCCCTCCGTTAGCCGCACCAGCCGTCCCAAATCGCACTCCGTTAGCCGCACCAGCACCAACGGACCGCCCAAAGTTAGCCGCACCAGCACCACCTGACGGCCCTCCGTTAGCCGCACCATAACCACCTGACGGCCCTCCGTTAGCCGCACCGGCCCCACCTGACAGCCCTCCGTTTGCTTCCGCACTGTTTTCTGCGTCGTTCCAACCACATGCATCAGCATCGGTGTTGAGCTCCCAGTCGAATCGCTGCCCATCGCGTTGACCAGTGCCTTGATGTGAGGGTGCATATTGTCGCTGCATGGCTCTCATCTCATTCCTCGCTTGCATAAGCTCGCGCTCCAACTGGCGGGTCCGCGCGGCCTGGGCCTCAAACATCGCACGGTCTACAGTTGGCGATGCAGACTTTGTCGCACGATTTTCCATCAACTCGTGCATATACCCAGGTTCGGGGATGACGGGTTCTTTCTCTAGCTGCGCCTCGAGGTCCATTGGCTGGTTATAACCACCACACTCGTCCTCCTCGTCCAGAAGAGCATCAAATGCATCAACATCAGACTCGAATGTGCCTCCAGCCGCGGGCGGAAACTCCTGACCAGCAGCGGGCTGGAATGGGGCTCCAACCTCAGTAGGGAACGCGACTCCAGCAGCAGACGGAGACGTTGCTCCAGCACCAGGCTGGTTTGCGCCTCCATCCGCAAACGGGAGCGTGGCTCCAGCCTCGAGCGGAATCTCTTGTCCAGCGGAAGGCAGAAACGCAACACCATCAGTTAGTCGGAAACACAGCACCATCGGAAGACGGAAACGGAGCACCATCAGAAGGCGGAAACGCAGCACCATCGGAAGGCAGAAACGCAACACCATCGAAAGTCGGAAACGTCGCTCCAGCAGCAGTCAGAATCGCCGCCTCAGCTTCAGGCTGAAACCCCGCGCCAGAAGCAGACGTACTCGCCGCACCAGCGGCACTCGGAATCGCCGCACTAGCAACAGGCGCAATCGCCGCTCCAGCAGCAGTAGGAATCGCCGCTCCAGCAGCAGTAGGAATCGCCGCTCCATCACCACGCGCAAGCGCCGCACCAGCAGCAGGCTGACACGCTGCCTCCGCCTGAGAGTCGGACTGCTGTGCTGACCGGCCAGTCTGGTATGCGGCCATTTGCCGAGCGCGTGCTGCAGCCGTGCAGCCAGACTGGTTTCGTGCCGTTGCCCCAGCCTGGACCGCACCCAACTGGACACTATGGACTACCGCCGAGTGCTGAACAACTCCACCGGCGGGTGCGGAGCTGCCTCGAAGCCTTCTTCCAGTAGATGCTGCCGGCTGTCGTACACCGTTCGGCGCTGTTGTGTTGCGACGTGCACCACCGGACCTTCTCCCGCTGCCTGTCGTGGTAGATGCTGCATCGATGGAGAGGCCACCATTCGATGGCATCGATAGCTGATTGAGGGAGACAATACGATGCCCTGCAGCAGAGTGCATACAACGTGGATTAATGCAATGCATGGGACAAAAAACGCAGGTGCTCGCGGATAACTAGTGCTATTGAAACCCGCTATGTACCCACCGCTAAACCAGAGCAAGTAGCACATACCTTCGTCAACCCCATTTGACCCGCCAGTAGGGCTATTTGATCCGCCGGATGCAGGGTTCGTTCCTCCGTTGGCGCTATTTTTCTGCACCGTTGAGGTTCGTGCAACAACGGCTGCTTCAACAACTGCTGCGAGCCTGAATCTTCCGCCAGTAGAGGGAGGACGAGACGGACGCGGCAAAGCCTTTCTCGTGATAGCAGAGAGGGTTTCCATTGATGCCTAGCATCACTGGAAACATTGGTAGATAAGTCACTGAGCCCTCTTGATCCACCATATTTATAGGCCTCATACTGAAGGCACTGTCAAACACATATACTATAGTCTGTGTAGGCTGTAGTGGGGTAGACAATATGGGGTACAACACTTTTAGGTTTTCCTACTTGTACCCGCCTGCTTGCTAGTTCATTCATTCCTTCCTCATTTCTTCACACGGTATAGAGCAGGTTCCCTAGTGGGAACGCTTCTCAGGGCCCACCACTGAATTTTTTTTTCCTAACTGGAGCGCGAGTCGCCCCTGCCCGAGGCGCGCCTCGTTGGCCGCCCTCACGTCGCCTCTCACGCCCCCCCCCCCTCGCGCCACCCTTAGCGGCCCCGTCGCCACCCCTTACGGCCCCGTCGCCGTCCCTTACGGCCCCGTCGCCGCCCCCTCTAGGCCCCTCGCGGCCCCTTTGCGGCCCCGTCGCCGCCCCTAGCGGCCCCGTCACCGCCCTTCGAGGCCCCTCTCAGCCCCTTTGCGGCCCCGTCGCCGCCCCTAGCGGCCCCGTCACCGCCCCTATCGGCCCCGTCGCCGTCCCTATCGGCCCCGTTGCCGCCTCTAGCGGCCCCGTCGCCGCTCCTACCGGCCCCGTCGCCGCCCTTCGAGGCCCCTCGCGGCCCCTTCGCGACCCCGTCTCCGCCCCTAGCGGCCCCGTCGCCGCCCTTCGAGGCCCCTCGCGGCCCCTTTGCAGCCCCGTTGCCGCCCCTAGCGGCCCCGTTGCCGCCCCAATCGGCCCCGTCGCCGCCCCTAGCGGCCCCTTCGCCGCCCTTCGCGGCCCCTTCAGCTGCCAAGCGGCCGAACCACCGAGCCGCCGAGCCGCCCAGCCGCCGAGCCGCCCAGTAGCCGCGCCGCCCAGCAGCCGAGCCGCCCAGCAGCCGAGCCGCCCAGCAGGCGAGCCGCCCAGCAGCCGAGCCGCCCAGCAGCCGAGCTGCCGAGCAGCGGAGCCGCCCAACAGACAAGCCGCCCAGCAGCCGAGCCGCCCAGCAGCCGAGCCGCCAAGCTGCTGAGCCGCCGAGCCGCCGTCGAGCCGCTACTGTTCCTACCGGCGCGCACCGGCCATTCCCACCCGGACTTGTGAGAGCACTCCCTGTTAGACCACTGCTGTCATGGCTACCCCCAGTGTCCTTACCTTTGATGCTGAGGGTCGTGCTGTTGACTTTGAGGTATGGGTCGATGACCTCCAGCTCTTCCTACAGTGCGATAGGGCAGACGGACTCTCCCTGTTTGATCTCACCTCTGGTGCCTCTCCTACCCCGCCTGCTACTGCTGACAGCACTGTTTGCTCACAGTGGGCCACACGCGATGCTGCTGCCCGTCTTGCCATGCGTCGCCACTTACCGACCACTGAGCGTGCGCACTTTAGTCAGTACAAGAGTGCTAAGACCTTGTACGATGCTGTAGTTGCACGCTACTCTTCCCCTGCCATTGCTGCTCTTAGCCGCCTCATGCTGCCGTACTTGTTCCCTGACCTTGCTGCCTTTCCCACAGTCGCTAACCTCATTACGCACCTTCGCACTAGTGACACTCGCTACCGCGCTGCGCTTCCTGCTGAGTTCTGTGCCAAGACCCCCCCCCCCATGTACATCACCCTCTACTACATAGTCACCCGACTCCCTGACTCCCTTCACTTAGTCAGGGACCACTTCCTCTCAGTTTGCCCCACCACACTCACCGTTGACCTCCTCGAGGAGCGCCTCCAGGCAGCAGAGAAGAGCATAGTTGCTGTAGGAGCCTCTCGTGGTGACCCTCGTACCCCCGTCTTTGAGGGGTGTTCCCCCTCCCCCCTCTTGCCCTCTATTGCTTCTGCTGCTGCGGCCGACCTCGTTGGTTTTTAGTCTGTCGGCGCTGCGTCTGCCCCTAGCGAGAGACGCCGCACAGGCAAAGGCAAGGGGGGCAAGGGCGCTGGAGGGGCTGGCGGGGGCGGTGGAGGTGGCGGTGGAGGAAGTGGAGGGAGTGGGGGTTGTGGTGGGAGTGGTGGCGGGGGTGGAGGTGTCGGTGACAGCAGTGGAGGCGGAGGAGGCGGCAACGGTGGCGGTGGGAGCGGAGGCAACGGAGGTGGGGGAGGCGGCGGCAGTGGAGCTGGTCGCGGGGCGCCTGGCGGACACCGTAGACTGGCCGCCGGAGGCTCCACTGGGTACCAGAAGGAAACGACCCAGTGAAGCCAGGTAGGCGGCGCAGCCAGATCTCCTCGTGCAGGCTGCCCTGCAGGAAAGCTGTGCTGAAGTCAAGAGAGTGAAGCTCGTAGTCGCGCTGATCGGCTATGTGCAGCAGCACCCGAAGAGTGGTCATCTTCAGGGTGGGAGAGAAGGTCTGAAAGTAGTCAACTCCCTGCCGCTGATTGAAGCCTCGAGCCATGTAACGCGCCTTGAAGACAGGCGGATGTTGGTGCAACCCTATGGTTTGCACTCGGCTTGTTGTCCGTGTGCGTGCATGTGTGTGTGTCTATGGAATGGTATGAGGGCATGGGATAATATATATTTAATGCTTATAATTGTGTGTGAATGTTGAGTCATGATGTCGAGTGTATGTGTCGAGTCAATAGCGAGTTATCGCTAGACGCGTGTTACGCGGTCGTTTGTGTCTCGCGCGCGGTTTCTATTTTGTCGTGCGCGGTTTCTCTTTTGTCCTGTGTCGAACGTTCGGTGTGTCGCAGGTGTGTGCAGCAGACCCATCAAGAACTCAAGGATGAGTTTGTGATGAAGAGCCGAGCCTTGGTGTCAATCCACAAGTGATTTCAAAGCTCGCCAAAAAGGGTACACCTCAAGATATTGAAGATAGTTACATTACTTTGTGTAGTGTAACATTTCACTTGGTGTAGGCCCTAGTGAAGGGTAGTTTCGAGACCCTTCGTGGTTGGGGACAGTGTGGCACTGTTCCACATCACTGTACCTCGGCTCTTGGGGTTTGTAGGAGCTGGGAGTCATTCCCAACTCGTAACTCTTCATATCTCTTCCTATTTTGTGTTCTAAGACTATAGTGGCTGCCATAGTGCCGTTCGTTCAAACCAACACTGTGTCGTCAATACTTGGTGAAATTGTGCGATCTAAATTGCCTATTGTAGGCGTCGTTCAGACGCTCCAGATCCAAGTTGAATCAGGTCATTTGAAGTTGTGACCAGAACGCTATGAACGTTTGAAGCCGCTGTGCAGAAATCCGGCTGTGCACTCTATCTTTCGTTTTAGGCACATTGGAGCCTATTGTGACTATAACAAGTGGTATCAGAGCCCCTCGGAGCAGTTTCGACAATGGCTGGACCTGAGGAAAGGGGTGGCAGAGGTGCTGGTGGCAGAGGAGAAGCCCAAGCTCAAGGCCAACCCCGTGACTCAGCCATGGCGCCCGTGCAACCAAGTGTTGGCCCATCTAGGGATGAGCCTAGAGTGTTTGGCCTTGACAAGTTCAATGGTGACAACTTTGCTGAGTGGTCCTTCAGAATGGAGAACATATTTGACCACTATGACCTGCTGGAGGTGATGGAAGGAACGGAGAAGCGTCCCGAGAACGACCCGGAGAAGAGCCCGTGGGTGCGGAAGAGCGCACAAGGCTACCTCCTACTTGGGCAAGCGTTGGGGAGCAGCCAAATCCGTCACATCAAGCCCTTCCAGCGTGAACCAGAGAAGGGACCAAAAGCATGGGCTGCTCTCAAGGGTGTACACGCTCCTGCAACAGCGGCGGTAGCTGTGGTGTTGGAACGGCAAATGGCGACGTTACGAATTGAAGAGGATGAAGCGGTTGAAGAAGGGGTGCAGAAATTCTTCGACTTGTTGACGCGGCTTGAGGGTGCTGATTTGAACTATAGTGAGCTCCAAAAGAAGACCAAGTTGCTGGCCCTACTCCCGGAGTCATGGTCCTCGCTCATCATCAACCTTAATCGTGACTTGCCCCGCCTCTCGCTTGAAGACGTGAAGCGAGCTATCCTTCGAGAGGATTTCCGCCGCCGTGAATTGGCGAGTGCGGATGGCGCTGGGGCAGCGAGCATCGGCCGTGGATATGGTCGAGGAAGAGGCAGAGGACGAGGGGGAGGAAGGTTTGGTGGCAGCAACTTCGGCGGAGGCCGTGGGAGTGGCGGTTACGGCAGCGACGAGAAGAACTACGGACGCGGTCGTGGCCGATTCGACGGCGAGTGTCACTATTGCCACAAGAGCGGACACATGTGGCGCGACTGCTACAAACTCCCTGATGGTTGGACCCCTGCTCAAGGCCAAGAGGGTAGAGGAGCAGGAGGAGGGAGAGGAAGAGGCCGTGGAGGCCGTGGCGGTCGCGGTGGCGGAGCTGCAACCATGAAGAGTGGAGACAACGACAAGGACCCGAGCGACGATCGATACCCGGGTCTATTCTACTTCGTGTCGACGCAAGTACCGACTGGTCCAGAGAAGGATGAAGGCTTTGAGGAGCCAGCAGCTGTGGGGAAGGTGACCCTACACCCCCTGGACTATTGGGTGATTGATAGTGGCGCTACCTATAGCATGACACCTCGCCCGGACTTGCTCACCGAACTCGAGCCGTCACCGGTGAAGCATGTCACATCGGCTTTGGGGCAGCGAGCAGAGGTGAAAGGCATGGGGAAGGCCATGTTCAAGGGTGCTGATGGGAAGATGGTGGGCCTCAAGAACGTGCTTTGGGTGCCCAGCCTTGCTGCAAACCTGATTTCCGTGCGGCGGTTGGCAAAGGCCGGCATGGACACTAACTCGAAGGGAGCCAAGACCTACACCGCAAGGCTTGGTGATCGGATTCTTTGGGACCTTCATGAGGACAGAGATGTCTACAACGAGATGTGGCAGATCCCTGTGGTCCCAATGCCTAAGGAGAGGCAAGTGGCAGCAAGCGTCAGCACTAAAGGTGGAGCGGTTGGTAGCGGCGATTGCGCGGACGGTCGCGCTAAGGAGGAGTCCAAGAAGTGCAATCTTGGAGGGACCAGCAAGTTCAGTGAACCTAAGGAGAGTGGTGCAGCAACCAAGGAGCAGCAAAAGGGTGAGGAGAACCCCGAGGCAACAGCGGAGGAGGACTACGGAGAGAGTATGTGGGGCGCTATTGCGAGCGCGGCATTCTCCAATCCAACTTCGGCTACGGGGGAGTGTGATTGGCTCACCTTGCATCGGCGCATGGGGCATGTGGCCCTGCCCATCTTGCAGCAGCTAGTGAAGAATGAGATGGTTGCTGGCATACGTGTGAAGGGGGAGCCCGATGAGGTACTTGGCTGCCCGACGTGCATGCAAGCCAAGTTCACCCGTTACCCATTCTCTAGTTCGGAGGCAACGGCTAAGGCACCACTTGATGAGGTGGTGATGGACGTGGTGGGCCCCCTGAAGCTTGGAGCTGCTGGAGCTGAGTACTTCCTCACTATTGTTGACGTCTACACCCGTATGACTTGGGTGTACGTGCTGGCCAAGAAGAGCGACGTGGCTGAAACGTTGAAGGCGGATTGGTTCCCGATGGTGGAGCGGCAACAAGACCGTCTAGTCAAGTCAATCCGCACCGATCGAGGGGGAGAGTTCCTGAGCAAGGAGTTTGGGTTGTGGCTGAAGAAGAATGGTATTCGACACTCCCTCACCATGCCATACTCCCCTGCAATGAACGGCATCGCTGAGCGAGCGAACCGCACAATCACGGAGGCGGCACGCGGGTTGCTCATTGAAGCCGGGCTACCCGACTATTTCTGGCCTGATGCGGTGCGGAGCGCATGTGTGGCCAAGAACAGAGCCTTGACTCATGTGGGAGCAGACAAATGGGTGCCCTATGTGGAGTGGCTAGGAAGGAAGCCAAAGGTGGATATGCTTCGGGTGTTCGGGTGCATGTGCATGGCGCTTGTGCCTAAGCATCTTCGGCACAACAAGCTTGGTGCCAAGGCGGTGTGGGCCGTGCACTTGGGCATGGCTCAAAACAGCAAGGGATGGCTTCTTTGGGACCCATTCACCAAGAAGTTCTTGGTGAGCAGGGACTGCAAGTTCATGGAGAACTTCATGTACAAGGATTGGAAGGCGGAGAATGAGGCGAAGATAGGCGTGCGGTTTGGGGAGGAGAAGAGTTCCGGTTTGGAGCATGTGGAGCTGCCTTTGGAGCTGAGCAGCGGCAGCACAACCACGAGGCAATCTTCCCTTGTGAATGGGGGAGAGGAGGCCAATAATGCAGAGGAAGAAGAGGAGGAGGTGCAGCAAGTGAGCGAGCGTGCACCGTCACTCCCTTCCCGCACTACAAGTGCTCCACGGATTCGAGCCACACCGCAGCAACGCCAAGGCCTTCAAGTCCCTGCAGCTGAGGAGGAAGGAAGGGGGAAGAGGAGAGTTCAACCCCCTAATAGGCTGACCTATGATGCGCCGGGAAAGCAGGGCAAGACAGCCCTGGCCGGAGCGGCAATGATGGTCGGAGACGACGAGGAGAGTGACTACGAGGAGTGTGCCTTCGCGTTCTTCTCTCCGGTGGAGATGCCGGGAGAACCAGCAACTCTCAAGGAGGCTTTGGAGAGTAGTGATGCTGAGGAGTGGAACAAGGCCATGGAGAGTGAGCTGAAGAGCATCGAGGAGAATGACACGTTTGAATTGGTGGAGCTACCGGAGGGGCGTACGGCGATAACGTCCAAGTGGCTCTTCAAAATCAAGTCGGATGCCGACGGCAAGATCGAGCGCTACAAGTCTAGGCTTGTAGCCAAGGGGTACCAGCAGAAGGAGAAGGTGGACTTCAAGGAGCTGTTTGCCCCTGTGGTGAAGCCGACGACGCTGCGAACCCTATTCGCGGGAGCCGCCATCAAAGGATGGGTAGTTAAACAAATGGACATCGTAACGGCATTCCTTAACGGCATCCTTGAGGAGGAGATTTTTATAGCGCAGCCAGAGGGGTTTGATGATGGTAGTGGCAGAGTGTGGAAGCTGAAGAAGGCCCTCTATGGGCTGAAGCAGGCCCCTAGGCAATGGTACATGAAGCTGCGCGAAGTGTTGGAGGAGATCGGCTTCACTCCCTCAACGGCCGATCACTCCTTGTTCATGCTTGGCGAGGGGGAGCAGAGGAGCTTCATGGTGGTTTATGTGGATGACATTCTCATATTCTCACCCTCCTCTGACCTTGTGAAGGAGGTGATGCTGAAGCTGCATGACAAGTTCAAGTGCAAGTCCCTTGGCGACGTGAACTTCTACCTTGGGCTCCACATCGAACGAGACGTGGAGAAGCGGAGCATGCGAGTGCACCAACGGAAGTACCTGGAGGCGTTGGCTGCCAACTTCGGCCAGAGTGAAGGTCATGTGGCTACTCCCTTTCCCTCTGGGTTCAAGTGTGTGAAGGGGCCAGAGGAGGAGAGCGTTGGAGAAGAGGAGAGGCGCCGATTTCACTCGTTGGTGGGCAGCCTCATGTATGCGGCGGTAAACACCCGACCGGACGTCGCGTTTGCCACCGGGCAGCTGGCTAGGGTTGTGCAATGCCCTAATGAGGAGCAGGTAGCAGCTGGAATGAGGGTGGCCAAGTATCTTGGCCAAACACCGACCGT